TTACAGAACCTGGCATTCCAAACCGGTCGCCCAACTAGGTACTGACCAGGCTCGACGCTGCTTAACTTTAGGGATCGCATGAAAACCGGTGTTCCAACGTGATATGGTCGTAAGCCCGGATTCGGCAAGGAAATGCATATATATATATATATATAAATATATATATATATATATATATATATATATATATATATATATATATATTATATTATATATTCTATTTTGTGCTATATATATATATATATATATATATATATATATATTCTATTTCGTGCTCTTTAGGTATATATATATATATATATATATATATATATATATTCTACTTCGTGCTTTTTTATATATATATATATATATATATATGCGCGACTGGTAACACATTTAGGGATTGATTGCTTATATTTTATGGGTTATTTAAAGCCGAAACATATTTGGAATTGTAAGAGTAATGCTTTTTTTTGTGAGATAATACTTCGTAAACAATTTTTTTGAGAATAACAATGTCCTACTATTTAATCCATACCGGGGGAAGAGATGAATTAATAGCTTCGTCATTAATACGCTTGCGCATAAGTGAATATAACAAACGCGAGTGGAATTCGAATTCCGCTCTCCGCTTTCTCGCTCCGAGCTGCAATCTGTTAAACCACCTGCGCATGTGGAAGATTTTATATTGAAATCCTTCTGCTTTGTCCTTTCTTGCAATCGGAACTAACCAGGCGGTTTGAAATAACGAAGCAAGAAACATCGCCGCTTGTATAAATAATCTTTATCGTTTCATTCTTCTTCGTCATCAATGAACTGTGGCCCTTCAGGACGTGGGTGGTCATGGTTCACCATAATTTCCTGTCCTTTGTAGTTCACAGTAACATTTGTCCTTTTCCTGTCTCTCCTAATCTTTGTTCTGCCATCCATTTGCGCAAGCTCATTAGGTAGATTAAACACTGCTTTCTTTTGTCATTCTTAACATCAATGTCCTCTGAATTTTAACATTTCCAAACACACCTACATCATTATTTATCCTGAAGATTTCAAATGTTTTTTTTTTTCTGCTGCTACCTATAATTGCTCTTTTTGTTTCCGTTTTCTGCAAAGATTTGTTGATGCTCACATGTTTAGTCTATCGTATTCTCAGCATCCTTCTGCAAAAACCCAAATTTCCGTTCTTTCATGTTTCCTATTTATGTGTGATGAGATTGACCAGCATTCACTGCCATATAGAAGGACGGATATTACATAACAGTTCAGCAATCATATCTTTCTTTCTGTTGCTACAAGTTTTCTCTTCATCGTTAAAAAGATTCTCCAGCATTCACTGCTATATAGGAGGACTGATATTACATAACACTTTAACACTCTTTCCTTAGTTTCTGTGACCTCAGTCATCTCTTCATCATTAAAAATATAGGCCATCATCCATTGCCATATAAGAGGATCGATATTGCATAACACTCTATCCTTCGTTTCTGTTACCTCATGTCTCCTCCCCATGATTAAAGATATTGTGCAGCATTCACTGGCATATAGGAGGGTCGATATTGTATAATATTTCAGCACCCTTTTCTACGTTTCTGTTGCCTCAAGTCTTCTCTTCGTCGTTTAAGAGATTGTTTAGCATTTACTGCAATATAGCAGGGACGATATTGCATTAGTTGAGCACTTATTTTATTCGTTTCTGTTGCCTCACATCTTCTCTCAGTCGTTAAGCATGTTGTCCAACATTGACTGCCACTTGTGAGGTCCGATATTACTTAACAGTTCAACACTCTTTTCTTCATTTCCTTGGCTTCAAAGCTTCTCTTCATCATTAAGGACATTGTTCAGCATTCATTCCATTTTGGTAGACGGTTATTACATAAAAGTTCAGTAACCTTTACTTTGTTTTTAATGAAATTTTCTTTTATCTTAATGCTTTGCTTAGCTTTCGGAGGCATAATTCGTTATCCCAAATGAATCTTCAGTGGCGCCATTTCTGTCCTCTAATAAAACACATCCAAGGTACTTAAATTAATGTATTCGTTTCATTTTGATATTTCCAATGTGTAATTCATTTTTTATTTTACTGACTACTATACACTCTGCCCTCTGTCTTCTTGCAATTGGGGTTTAGTCTTTTCTTCTTGCTTTCCTTTGCTACCTTCTGTTGGAGTTCTTGTAATTGTCTTTCTGTGCCTGTTAAAGCAATGGCAATCAACGACAGAAGTGTTGTGCTTTTCTACTACTACTATGGTAGAAAACGACGTGCCGCTATACGAATTCTTTGTTACATTTATTGCGTGAGCATCAAGTCTGTTTATTGCAATTTAACGCCTGTTGTTATAAAGCAGGAAAACTATGAGCGAAGAAAGAAAAATGTCTGTGTTTTTTATCGTAGAATTACCACCTTAATGGATTCTCACTGATGCCAGTTGCAGGCAATCGTTTTTTAGGAACGGACCTACCTTCGCAACCAACTCTTGAAATCCAATACGAGTGTTGATTGATTAGTAAAGTCTCCTAACGCGTTGCGTCGTTAAAAAAACGATGTAAATACATTTGAACCACCATTCTATAGTGTATAATGTCCTTTTTAAAGTGCTTCATGTCCTGTTTTTTTTGCCTTTTTTTATTAGTGATATAATGCAATATGCGTACACCAGTGTTCTCCCTCATTGGAATATGATTGGCTGGTGTCCGTCATAAATACCGACGGACGCGTAGGAGAGTCAGAGAAGAGCCTTAGTCTGAGGGCTAAGTCTATAACGACGCGACTACGACGCGTACCAGTTGATTACTGCTACCGTGTTCTACTTGGTTATAGTAGCCAAAATCACTAAGCTACTTCGTTCAAATATATCCCTTCCCGGCACATATCATCATATCATATATATATATATATATATATATATATATATATATATGATATAATGGAATATGCATACACCTGTGTTCCCCGTCACTGGAATATGATTGGCTGGTGTCCGTCATAAATACCGACGGACGTGTACGAGAGTCAAGAGCTTTAGTCTGAGTGCTAAGTCTATAACGACGCCCATTGGACTACGCCATTGATCTACACTTCTTATCTGTGACTAGGACGCGTACTAATCGATTACTACTACCGTATTCTACTTGGTTATAGTAGCCAAAACCACTTAGTTAATTCGTTCAAATATATCCCTTTTCCGGGACATATCAACTAGCAATCTGCCTAGGAACATTCTCAGATTGTTAGTAAAGCTCAATGCAGATTAAAACACACGTCCGAAAATCCGAATGGTCAGAGCCTATCAGGTGATTTCTCCGCTGATATAGCTTTAACAACTCAACGGGGTAAATCGACTTGTAAACTTTCACTACCTAAAATAATAAGCTAGTATCACTACATCCTTATCGTTCAGACTCTGATCGGAACGCCAGAGTTACGTATAAAGAAGTAATTAGTAACAGAATTTTTATTTGAAAATAAAATTGTATAGACATATGGAAGCAATGAAGCCTTGTGAGCATTTAAGCATAAGGCCTGAAGTTCACATAAATCCACTTCTTGTCCACTTACCCCAGCTATGACCAAATAGCAAGGTAGACTGGGCTCTGTAGCTTTGCATGTTACTCAATCCCAGAGAAGATGTCTGAATTGTAAATCGTTGAGAAAGCAACAGGGAAATCAACGCGCTGTTGTCATTTGACAGATAATCTTTTTCTATGTACCATTTCCCTTTGGAGTATAGGCAGTCACGGCTCTCTACAACTTCCTATCTCGTGTGGCTCTGAGCAGTTTTTTTTCCCTTTACCTAGAGATTCGACCCACCATCGTTCCACCACTCATTCACACAAGGTTGTCAGGGAGATGTCACGCTGCCTTTCCTTTATCACCTTTGCCCTCAATATGCCTCGTGATGATCAAGTTTATCAAGCTTCTCTTCCTCATTATCTGTCTCAGAAATTTGTTTCCCTTATTTTGAGTAGAATTCTTCTTTCTGTTGCCATTTTCTTTAAGACTTCCTTGTTGCTTACTTGCTACGTCCATGGAAGTTTCAATATCTTTCTGTAGAACCACATTTCGGCCGTCTCGAGTTGGTTTTTTTTTACTAATCGGTGGGGAGATTGTCTAGCGTTCAATGTCATATAATCATCACATAACAATTCAGCACACTTTTCTTTGTTTCTAGCGAATTTTTTTCCGTTTCTCAGCGCGTTGCTTAGCGAAGGAAGTTATCATAGTAGCTTAGCTTTTAGAATGCTCCTATCACCTATGAATTTTTAGAATGCTCCTATCACCGATGAATATTTAGAATGCTCCTATCACATATGAATTTTTAGAATGGTCCTATCACATATGAATATTTAGAATGCTCCTATCACATATGAATTTTTAGAATGCTCCTATCACATATGAATATTTAGAATGCTCCTATCACATATGAATTTTTAGAATGCTTCTATCACATATGAATTTTTAGAATGCTCCTATCACATATGAATATTTAGAATGCTTCTATCACATATGAATTTTTAGAATGCTCCTATCACATATGAATATTTAGAATGCTTCTATCACCTATGAATATTTAGAATGCTCCTATCACATATGAATTTTTAGAATGCTCCTATCACATATGAATGTTTAGAATGCTTCTATCACCTATGAATATTTAGAATGCTCCTATCACATATGAATATTTAGAATGCTCCTATCACCGATGAATATTTAGAATGCTCCTATCACATATGAATATTTAGAATGCTTCTATCACATATGAATATTTAGAATGCTTCGTAGCGGTTTCACTCGTACGCTTGTCGCACTGAACTACTGTATTCCCAATCCATATTCTCGTGTGATTAAATCCTTTTCCACTCAACCATTTTTTCCAGTGTTTTCCTTACAGCCTTACTAACCAGCAACTATGAGCGTTATATGAACTTTATATTTGTATCCTCATTTCGTAACTCGCATATTGGTTTTTTTCTCTTGTTGATAAATATCCAAAAAGTTAATAGTCCTTTTCTTGCGCAACGTGTTTCAAATAATAATAATAATAATAATAATAATAATAAATACCATTCTCCTTCATAACGTAGTTGAACATGACTCTCCAATGATTCTTTTTTCTCAGTCAGGGTTTTCATTCTC